CCGTCGCTCGTGAAGCTCTTTTAGAAATAGCTCTTTTAGAATTTTTGGAAACACTCTTTTAGAGAGAGCGCTGAAGCGCCCAGGGGAGGTCGCGGCAAGACCACAGAATGAAAGCTGCAGCCCGCCGAGATTTCAGCAGCCTGAATGGCAACCCCCGCTGATACGCCGTCACACCAACGCCAGCTATTTCTCTCGAACACTCGCGGAGATTCGTCCTGAAGAAGGCTCGGCTCCGAAGCGAAAAGCTGATGTGCGTTTGCACGCGCTCTCCTTTTATACCCGCGCTGCGGGGCGGGGTGCACGTGGCGAAACACGCACGCCAACTGTCATTGGCTTGTTTAGTTAACACTCGAAGGTGATTGGGCTCTCGGGCGAGATCCCAATTGGTCAGTCACTGACGTAACGTAGAACGTGACTGACTGAATGGGAACTGAATTTTCCTTTTAGGGTCAGTTATTCCTAAACTTTCACCCTAAACCAAACCAACATTATGCATCCATGACCAATAGGTGTCAGTACAAAGTCATAAACTGCTAGCACGAGCCAGCAAAATGCCACCTTTCTCTACTCTGTTTCCATACAACCTGGAAACTTGACCTTATAAATTTAAAAGTGAAAAAAAAAATTGTCATTTCATCTGGAGCAACAGCCACATGGAATTCCAATAATGATCAGATCTGCCCTAGACACACTGACACGATAATGACTGAGAGCAATTTTTTACTGACCTTATCGGGATTGCATTTGCATTGCGCCTGCCGCCTGGTCCTTTTCCAATGCATTAAAACATTAGAATAATTAGAGTGTGTATGATAATCGATTCACGTCATGTTCCACCCTAAGCCATAAACATGCATCGAAGAGGACGTGACCTCGACTGCAGGTACGACGAGAAGGCCTTTTCCTCACTACCTTTTTTGCATTGTTGATCAACCCCCAACTCGCTCACATTCAATCAAAGTCACCACACCATTATTCATTACAAGTATTTGTTTTATGAAATCTCAGCCCAGGGGTGTGTTGTTAGTCCCCTTCCGCACACACATAAGCACATACGCACATACGCCCCTCCCACCTCTGGTAAAATTGTGCTTGTAAATGAAATCAGGCTTAACCATGCGTTGGCTTTTCATCAATCTCTGTGTGATGGCTGCTCGCCCTTGATTCATGGCTTCCACCCTCTCCGGCTCCTCCCTGTGTGTGCAGAGATGAGTAATGACCCTCTATAGCCGGCTCCCCGTCGAGCTGTCGACCTAAGGGACAACCACAGGAACCGAGGATCACCCCTATCCATTGCCCTCTCTAAACACATTCATAATCACACATTTGGCTCCTCCCTCCTTCCTTAATGCAACATTCCCATTGAATGATTTCTATCCAGCCACTCGAGAAGTAAAAAAAGCAGCTGGAGGGTATTTGTGTGTGTGCGCCTCCCAGATACCCACGACATCTCTATCTGGCCAGTCCGACACACTATTAGCATAAACAAGCACCTGTGTCTGTGTCTACCTGTCAGGGCCCTGTCAGCATGGGTCTGCAGAGAAGAGCACGGTGCATTAACCCGGCCAGCTTATCTCCAACGCTGTCCACAAAGGGGGATTACAGTGCAGGAATTGCTTTTGGGAGTGCTGTCACTCAACCGCTGATTAGAGCCCAGTTCCGCTCCTCTATCGCCTCACAAACAACAGGGAATCCCGATGGCCCTGGTGCCATATAGCTTTGATCGGACGCATCACGTTTGCTGTTGTTATCCTAAATCCGGAGAATTTAACGTGACCTGTTTGGACGTGCCATCTCTTCATAAACAGCATTTGCACATTGCAGCAATATGGCGCAATTCAAAAACTCTACAGTTACCAAAGGCTAATCTATTGCGAAGAACTCGAGGTCAAATCGAACTGGCACAGAAGCTGCGCAGCTATACCACCTGCTTAATTAAGCCTGGAACATAACACTGATGGCTATATTTTTCTTCTGTCAGAAAAACATATTATGGCCAACAGAGGACTGACATAAAGCAAGCAAACCTTTAAATTAGGCTTTAATTAGCTCTGTGTAAAAAAGGAGACTGAGACCAGGCTATATGTAACCGATGACAGTTATCTGACACTCTCACACGCAGAGACAATGCCTAATTAGCCAAAACCTATGTAGCCTTTTCAAGAGTCAAACAGTAATTTACTCATGTACAAGATCTGCAAGTACAATGTGCAATAGCTGAATGTAGAATGGACAGATGGAGACAGTACAATGATGTGGAGAAGTTAAGATAGCAAAATAAATATGCTTATTAACATGGAGGAAAAAACTTATGGCATATGCTTTTGCTGAGGGCATCAAAAGCAGACTCAGACTTTATCATATTTTGGTGCAAATGCTTCTGTCACTCAATAATATGGTTAAGGTGGTAAATCTAAAAAAATTTCAATTTTCCTATCCAGTTAA